TGATCAATGTTTTTCGTTTCACTAGTGTTTGTAAGAGGCTTTTCAATAATTATGGCCTATACGGCCCCTCATACATCTGAGCACAGAGTGTTAATCTCCCTTTGCCAGTGTTAATTGCCCATTTTATGACAAACCAGGCCAAAATGCAGGAGAACACATGCTTGGATTTACAGTACATGCTGTTTACAAACAGATGTCTGAGCACAGACTAAATAGAAGCATATTTTGTCCTATGGAAATGGCTCAAGAATTTTAGGCAGTTTAATCTAAAAAACAAAGGTTTTTAAGATCACTGTTTTGAGCAGTGTTTTGTAGCAGACATGGATTAATTTTGTATAGAATTTTACTAAATTCATAAAATGCATTCTATGGCTAGATTTCTGAATGTATTTATTTTTTTTAGATTTTAATCATGCGTTTAATATGCCACCAGATGGGCTTTGTGTTAAGTTTGCATCCACATCTGAGAGAGTGATTAGATTTCCATATAAGCTTATGGCTTCCTGTTGCATCTCAATCCAAGAAGAATGATTAAAATGTCTGACATCTATGAGGCCAGTTTAGATTTACCGTGAAAGACCTTGATTGTCTGATTAAGCTAATCTAAATTATATGGTGAGCTTTCATGTTGTACCTGTTATACGTTTGTCAGCTGATTGAAAATCTACACTGATTACAAATTTCCAAAACAAAACCAAATGAAATGTTAAGAGATACAAATCAAAATCTTTTCATCCAAATAATGCCTTATGTGCAATCTGCCTATCTTTACCTGCCTCCACATCCAGGATCGTGGTATTAATGTAGATTTACAAACTGTAAAGTTAAAAACAGATGCCTGATAGTCTGACTCACCCTTCTGACTATGCAAAATACGCAGAACACGTAATGTTAAATGATAGCTGTGTACAGCTCTTGGCACAACTGTGTATGCCACTTACTTAGCTAATGCTTAACGAAACAGTTCACCCAAAAATGAAAACTTATTTAAAAAAACTAAATGCCATTATTTACTCACCATAATTTCACTCCGAACCTGTATGCTGTTATTTTGTTCTGAGAAACAAAGAGGTAGAAACGGAAGAGATTGAATCATTCTTCAATCAATTACAATTCCTCGTAACTGTCCAATAATGGTACATCAATGTCATTAATACCAAATACAGTATGCAACACTTTATTTCGATAGTACACTTTAGACATTTTACTAACTACAAGCAACTTTGAAACTATATGTCAATTAACTCTCATAGAGAGCTATTAGAGTATTAGTAAACTGTTAGGTCATAGTTAGGGTTAGAGTTAGTAGAATAAGTTGGCATGTACTTGCAAAGTTGCAAAGTTACTTATAGTCAGTAGAATGTGGATACTAAGCGGACAGTCTATTAATACTCTAACGACTGGTATTGACATGTAGTTAATACCAGTCATTAGCCCCGCCCCTTTCCGGCACTGCACTAGTTCTTTTTTCAATATGTATTTCCACAGAAAGAAGGTAAGGTCATACTAATTTATGAATGAATTGATCGTTTTAAAATCTGCCTTGTCTATAGACATTTGTTATGACATCCGCTTTAAACATTACAATGCACATGATCATTTTCGTCAACTCTACAATCAGTAAATCCATTTCACCAGCTAATTACTCTTTAACAGCGATGTTATAGAGCTACAGCAAACAAGGAAGTTAAAAGATAAAATTCTTAAGATGGTCTATAGTTAGTAGAATTTCTAAAGTGGAAAATCAGAATAAAGTGTTACCAATAATTCACTTTTAAAAATAAAGTTTTGTTTTGGAAAGAACATTTTAAATTTTTATTCACTTCAAATAATAATAATAATAATAATAATAATAATAATAAAATAATTTAAATACAGGATGCTACCATACTGTACCACTACACTGTTGTCACAAGTGAGTCCCCACAGTTGTCAGGACATGAAGCTCTTGTATTGAATTTGTAACTGAGGGGTCAGGCCATCGGCAGCAGGGTAATCCATGTCTTGCTGACGCTGGCAGCCAATGAAGAGACCTGAGCAGAGGTGCAATGGGAGAGAATTTCCTGAGGTTAAAAACAAGTCAAGCAGCAGCATTTTGGATGCACTCTGGGGGATGTTTGGCAGATGCTGGTAAGCCGGAATGAAGGAAGTTGCAATAGGCTGGCCGTGAAATGACTAGGGCCTGGATAGGAAGTAGTATTCAAGGAAGGGCTTTATTTTTTCTTTTATACTTTTCTTTCCTGCTAACAGATTGCAGGCGAGGCCACATAGGAGCAGTCTGAGGTTAAGTGCCTTGCTCAAGGGCTCAATCCAGACAGGGGCTCCCGTACCTGAGCTCAAGCTATCAACCTGCATGTCAGCCCAGATAAACCGATAAATGGTTTATCAGAAGGTGAGAACACAATAAAAAATATTCACATTTTGTAATAAGAGATTTCTATTTCAACTAAATAATGTTCTTTTAAACTTCAAATCGAAGAAGCCTAAAAAAAAGTATACACAAATATTAAGGAGCACAAATGTTTTCAACATTGATAACAATAATAGATGTTTCTTGAGCACAAAACCAGCAGTAACACTTTAGATATGGGAACAAAAAAAAAATCTATTTTTTATTTTTACATTAACAATGTAATCAATATTCTATTTATTATTCTCTTTATTAAAGCCAAGTATGAATCTCATCAAGCTAGTGTTTTTAAGCATTTCACATTTATTCCAACATAACTTAAGGCAGTAACAATTTATACAATATACTTTATTTGTGAACTCATGTTCAGCTATTCTTTTTAATAGTTAAAGGGGTCATATGATGCGGTTTCAATTTTTCCTTTCTCTTTGGAGTGTTACAAGCTCTTGGTGCATAAAGAAGATCTGTAAAGTTGCAAAGACTAAAGTCCCATTCTCAAGCCCCCCCGCCTCTGCTCACTCTAACCCTCCGGCCGTTCCTCACGCTAGCCCCCAGCTTCTGCTCACTGTAGGCCGCCGCTCCTCACGCTGTTTCGTTGTGAAAGCGAAACTACTTTGTTTGGCCTTCCTTCAGTGCACAGGACGGACATTAGCCAGGCCGAGCGACAGAAAGATAGAGATGGCGGATAAAAAACAAAAGAGGAAGACGTCTGCGGAACAAAAGAAGGTTTAGGCAATAAGGCAAGAAGTAGGACCTGTGTAAATATCGGATCAGCTTTCCAGTGCCGGAGAGAACTCAAGGAGCGGAAGGCCTGCGTTTGGACGCCAAGGTTGCTTTGTTTCTTCTCGATAGGTGAGTAACACCGAGTCTGTTGAAAATCATTTGAAATTTGTGTCAATACGTCATGAATAGAACGCAGCAGCAGTTTTCTGTCGGGGATTTGTCGTGTTGCGCCGCGCCGCATCCAGTGTAGACAGCATCACTGATTATAATGAGTTCTATAGTATGTTGTAGTGCCGCGCCACTCACATCCGGTGTAGACACGGTGTAACACGGTTTTGCTTTGTTTCACAGAACTAATCGTTGCCTGGGTTGTGTACGTATGTGTGGGGCGGAGCTATCAAAATAGGGGCGAGAACCTTTTGGGGTAGGGGCGTGTTTGTTTTGGTGATTTCAAATGTCAACATTGGCTACCAGAAATCGCTTACCCCACCTTTAACTTTTAACTATTTTTGAATTTTTCAGATCATCAGTCATCAAAGCTCAGTAAATATGGGTCACAGACACGGAGATTTACTTTAAATTTGACCAAGTTGATCACTCACTAAAAACTCCCACACAGGGGATTTCAGAAGTTAGGGGGACAGAAATCTTTTTTTTTTTTGGCTAATTGACAAATTATTAGAATTTATTATTAGAACAAAAGTTCTATTATTATTATTATTATTTTACTTATCTCTTACTTTTAATTGCTGCTGCACAATAACCAATAATTTGTATTCTATAATATTTTTACTATATTTTCCTAATGACAATTTTATGATTGATTTATACTACAAACACATTTTCTTTCAATTTTTAGCAGAAAATATATTCTATAGTTTCTAAAGGCTACTGAAATAAATGATATGTCAATTAGCACTGCATTATTCATATACTTTATTTATATATTACCTGGAGACGACTTGGAAAAACACATATTAACCATATGAAGAGTTCATTTGCAAAAAACGATAAACGCACTTTAAAAAAAAAAGTCACCTGAACTTTCAGGTCAGGTGACAAGGCTACTTTCACTTTGAAAAGACGTGCTAGCTGAGAGGAGTTTCGTCAAAGCTGACTAAAATTGATCGAGGATGGATCATTTCGACAAACTTGATGAATCTGTGATATATTCTTCAGGGCGAAAACGGAAAATACAAGCTGAAACGTTTTTACGGAACCTTGCAAAAGCAGCGCTTTACAATGGTGAAGGAAAAGCTCAGTGTATTGCGTGTAATCACATCCATACAGTTTATGATCACAACAGCGTTTGTCAGGCATCTACATTGTCATCTGAGGAGATTACAAAGATTAACCGAGTGTTTTTTTAAACTCTAAAACATGAAATGTGGAGTTATCTGCTTTTGCTAAAAAACGACTGTTGGGGTTATCTGCTTTTGCTATTAAACAAACTTTTAATATGTAAAAAAAAAACATACTTTCAATGAACTTTAATTTTGTAAATTACCTGTATTTAAGTTATTATTACTTAATCAAAACAACCCAACTGCAGTTTGATTGATATTACTTGGAATGCGCAATAAAAAAACGTGATTGCTGAAAAAAAGTTATCGGTTTTTGCAAATGAACTCCTCATATATTGTCGCAATCGTGTGTTTGTTGTCTTCATGTTTCATCAGTCAAAACGTTTCTTTGGGAAGCCAAATACACGAAAGTGGGACGAAACAGTGTGATGGAGCTTGCGCCATGCTGACCTGTCAAAGGTGCAGCTCGGTCCGACCGACTCGACAGCGCAGGGAGGACGTGTTTTCTAGCGCCACCAAAAGGACAGCGCGGAACTGATCAATTAAAACCGAGCCATGCGAACATTATAGGCTACTCTAAGTTCATGTGTTTTTCCCTGCAAATAAAACAATGAAGATAAGCATTAAGTTATTACATTTCTTTAGCTTATTATCTTTCATACTACAACATGTAAACAGTGTTAGCTACTTTGAAGAACTGGCCATATATAGTAGCCAGTAAAGAGCTGTTCAAAGCAGAAAACAATATCATAGTCCTCATATAATTTAAAGTTTTATGATTTCATTCATCAAGGCCTATTTTAGGTAAATTTCACATTTATATTTGTGTAACTGCATATGAAGAGTTTGGTTCCAAAACGTGATAAACGCCATTTAAAAAAAAAAATTTGTTTCCGCCAAAATCAGTATTGTATCTGGTCGGTATTAAAAAGTCAATTTTTAATTTTACGCAAAATGCGATGTTTTCTCCCTTTTTTTTCGAAACCGCGACAAAAAGCCAGTCTCCCTTCTCTTTAGAATGCGATATATCCGCTCAACCAATCACAGCGTACCATTCCACGCACTCTAGACAGTAATGGCGGCGCTTTTAATACACCCGGCATTCTAGATTTCCTCATCTATTTTGTACTTTGTGATCAACAAACAAACTTAGGGCTGCACGATAAATCGCATGTGATTGTCATGCGCATCTCGTCAGTAAAGCCGGTTCTGTGATTAATAGGAAAATTCCATCACGTGCTTTCAGATGGAGCGGCATTTAATACACAGAGCCGTAGATCACTGCAATATCGCGTTCATAATCGCAGATGAGTCGCATTCGATTATGAACACGATATAGGTTAGCTTGTCAGTGTAAGTGTTTTTATTAATGTCATTAATGTTTTTGTTAATACAGCGTATAGCACTAGTCAACTAAATGAATGTAACATGGCAAAGATGAATGCACTTTTGGAAGTTGAATGTAAGGGAAATGTCATTTTGCAATTTCTGTGGTTTAATGTAATATTGTTGTTCATGTTCTTGTTCATGATGAAATGTTATTTTATTGTTGTAATTAATTTATAGCATTAACAAGATGACCCATTTAATTTTTTTTTGGAGCTATGACTGATTGAATGTATTTTTAGTCCAGTGCCTGCATACAAGATTAGTATTGAACAAGTTCAGAAGCTGTCATATGTGGATCAACTTACTATGTTGTGTATTTTCAACAGTTTCAATATGAAAAATAACTTTTATATTGATTCAATGGATTTATTGCATTTTGGAAAAAAAAATAATACAATTTTATAATAAATCTTTGAAAATCAAAATCTGAAACAGAAAACAGTGGTTTTAATCTTGCCACTTACTTGGTAAAGAAAACACATTTTTACTCAAATTAATCAAAATGGATTTATAGCATTTTTGAACCAAACTCTTCATATGTTTAAATTGAAAATGCATGAGAGTGTTGAGCACTCCGTAATATTTGCATTTTGGATACGAATAAAACATCAGGTCATGCATTGACTATCTTATCTTTTTGCATTTAAATCTAGATTTATTCACACTGGCCCTTGAAAATCTCTACTTGAACACACTAGCCCGAAAAAAAAGTATTCTACGCCCATGCTCCCAAAGATCATGTTTTAAGTCTTATTTTGATGTAACAAAGTGTTTATAAGTATTTGAGTTGTTTACTTACTTTTTAAATTTCTCTTCCCATTAACGCCAAAGCCACTAGAAGGCAAGCCTGCAACCTTTAGCCAAAAAAGCATAACGGCTAATGCTAACGCTTCCGGTTTGCCAGTACGTGGGAAAGGAGACCAGAGGCCGTTTTTTTTTAATGGATGTCAATGGAGGAGAGGTTTCACTCCGCTGAATAAAAAGCTTTTTAGAGGAAACAGCTTATCATTTAATGAATCGACAGCCTATCGGCTAATCTCCAACATGTTTTACACTTAAGAAATACTTTTGGATTGAACTATTTTTAGAGTTTACACTGGAAAAAAATGCCGTTTTATAAGAGAAGTCACTGACTTTTTGCGACAACTGGGATACAGCTTACGGCGCATCTCATTCATTCCTATGGTATCCGTAAACGGCGATTGAGTGTCGCACAACTCTGACTGAAATTCAATGACATCAAGGCTGTAATGTGATTGGTTATAAAGGCACACATGATCCGAGCTGACCGTTACACTTTCTCCAAAAGTAAGTAATACAGGCCCTCTCATCTCCTTATAGTAAGACAATCTCTGTTAAGGCCATTATGATTCACGAACGTGCACAAACACAAGAGGCGGGATTTATCGCATGAACCAATCACAGCCGAACATAAGCTGTAATGACAAATGGTGCTCCTACATGGGAAGAACCTGATGTCTGATGTCATACAGCAGGTAATAAGGTTAAGTGTCTTCATCCTGGTGCTGACGAAAGCAATTATATTTCTTTAATCGAGTGACATCCAGTCTTACATGTTTCTTGCCCTCTTTGAAGAGCTCTTGAACTGTCTGGTTATTTATTCCCATTACTGCCTCCCTCTGTCCTCCGTTGCCGCCTGCACGATGATCCATTTTTCTCTCCCTCCTTCATTTTCTCTTGATCTCGATTTCTTTGTGGTACCCTTTTTCACAATGTCTGAGCATGAACGAAAACTTCCACCCGCCCTATGTAACAGCGAACTGGCAGCTCATTATATCCACAGCAATGGAGTTTAATCCTGTGCGATCTATTAATCTATTCCAGTACTCTGGCCCCTCCATAGCCGCCCCCTTTTTCATTAGCTAGAACAAAAGCCTGCAGAACAGAATTCATTAAGGACAATCAAACACGGCTCCTCTGAGGCCATTTAATGCGACTTCCATTATTAACATTATCGTTATTATTAATACGCAATAGCAGAAAGCATCTGTGTAATGTGCGCCAACGACAATATTGAATCCTTAATCATGTGGTGGAGGTCGACTGTGGCGATGTGACTCCAGGTGGATGGTCTGGGTGGAGGTCTACTCTCTCGAGGAAGCCACACATCTACGGCAGATTAAAAAGAATAATGAGCACTTTGGAAGTCTTGGAATAATACTAGAAGAGAACAAGCCAAGTATGAGCAGTAAGTATAACAGAGCAGTATTGGTGAAATAACTTTAGCGGGATGCTGTGAGTTTGAGGACATGACAGCAGAGTTCAGTCTTCCCAATGTAGACACAGTTTTGTTGTGAAGAGTGAAGTAGTAAAGAGTAGAAAAGTAGTATAGAGTACCTCAGAGCTGTCTGACTGATTTTCAGGTCTCCACTCTACTGTCCTATAAAAAATGACAAAAAGAAAATAATAATAATAAAAAAGAAAACGGCAAAAAACAACAACAAAAGTGGCTCTGTGCAACTAAGAGCCATGTAATGAAATCAATCACAGACTGGCAAATCAAGACAGGCCTAACAACAGGTCTGGGTGTCTATTAGAACATTATCTCATTCTAGCATTTGAATCAACTCAAAGCAAGCGAGTCTCACTGTGTCACAGAAGATGGATTGCTCTGACACCTAAAGACAGATCATTAAAATGATGGACAGCTCAGCCGGAAATCAAACTAAAAATGGAAAGACGATGGCAATAGCCACTCTGTGAACAGACATCTTGCACAGTTGAACTCAAAACTTTTTTTCTTCATAGCTAGTCAATTCGGTTTCTGATTTTTTCTAAATAAAAAGCAGCAAAATGTATTCCGTTTTTTTAATTTTTTTTATTTAAATTCTATTTACTAACTCACCACACACAATAATGTACAATAACTGTAATTTCCCGAAAGCCAATAATTTTTGGAAAAAAATGACACCTTTCACTTGAAGATACCACATTGTGTTATAATTTTATGCTCAAAAAACCAAATTGAGTGAAAACGGCCTATTTTAGCTTTAGGTTCTAAAGGGTTAATAGATTCGCTTAGCTGGCCGAAATACAGCTGGTAGTATATACTAATAAAAATCTCGGATTTCACTGCATCCACTGTAAAACCCTGCCAAACACTGTGACTGATATGATCTGTTGATGGATGTTTATACGTGCAGCACGCTTGACCTGCATCTGAACTTGAGTCCATTTCACGAAAGTTTGAGAAATTGCCATAAATCAATCATAAAACGCGTCAAATCCTGCTCATTACTGGGCTGCTCATGTTTCACCTCTGTGATCTCCAGCTTTTGATGCCCTCAGGCCGCTTGTGAAATATATGTAAGCTATAAGACGGTGAGTTTGTGAGCACTAGTGCATGTTTCAGCGGCTGTTTCTGAACACTCAACTCGAGCATTACCTCTCCTACCATTTTCTAGGTTTGGTGAGTAGTTCAACATCCTATGGAGAAAGAAAAATCCCCAGTGTCGCAAATGTCTAGTCAGTGGAGTGTGACAATGGTCTCCGTAGATCTTCAGTGGTCGTACTTTAGTCACCAGTGAGGGTGCTTAGTTAGTGTGCAGTTGCATGACTGCAGGGGAGAGATGCTTTCTTGACAGGTGCGGCGCAAAATTGG